TTGTCGTTGTCGTTGTCGTTGTTGTTGTTGTTGTTGTTGTTGTTGTTGTTGTTGGTGGTGTTGTTGTTGTTGTTGTTGTTGTTGTTGTTGTTGTTGTTGTTGTTGTTGTTGTTGTTGTTGTTGTTGTTGTTGTTGTTGTTGTTGTAGTTGTTGTTGTTGTTGTTGTTGTTGTTGTTGTTGAATTCTCATTGCTGAAGAATTTTTGTTTGATCTCACCCCCCTCCGGTGCGCATGGTATTTTTTCAATTGAAGTGCCCCTCCTGGCGCTCGCACCCGGTTGTTTATCAGGGAAGATGTTAATCCTCAAACTGTGTTGTTGGCCCCCGGGTTACAACAACAACGGTTCCCGCTTGAGATTTCCTCAACAATTTAGCCAGGACCCCCGCTCCCGCCTGAGACTTCTTTTCATTTTATTCAGGGATCGCGCTCTCGCTTGGGACTTCCTCACACTTTGTTCAGGAGTCGCTCTCTCGGCGCTCTGGAATCGCGCTCTCGCTGGAGACTTTCTTGCAATTTACTCAAGAATAGCGCCCTTGCGTGGGAATTTCTTACAATTTACTCCAGTGCCGCGCTCCCGACATTCAGGCACCCAGGAGTCGCGCTCACGCTTAGGACTCCCTCGCAGATTATTGAGGAATCGGAATCTCGCTGCCCTTCGCATGGCCCCATTGCAGCCCTTCGTGACCCCCTCGCTGCCCTTCGTGGTCCCGTTGCAGCCCTTCTTGGCCCCCTCGCTGCCCTTCGTGGCCCCGTCGCAGCCCTTCGTGGCCCCCTCGCTGCCCTTCGTGGCCCCGTTGCAGCCCGTCGTGGCCCTCTCGCTTTGTTCTGTGGCCCCGTTGCAGCCCTTCGTGGCCCCCTCGCTACCCTTCGCTGCCCTTCGTGGACCCGTTACAGCCCTTTGTGGCCCTCTCCCTGCCATTCGAGGCCCCGTTGCACCCGTTCGTGGCCCCCTCGCTGCCCTTCGTGGCCCTGTTGCAGCCCTTCGTGGCCCCCTCGCTGCCCTTCGTGGCCCCGTTGCAGCCCCTCGTGGTCTCCTCGCTGCCCTTTGGGGCCTCGTTGCAGTCCCTCGTGTCCCTCTCGCTGCCCTTCGTGGTCCCGTTGCAGCCCGTCTCCTCGCTGCCCTTCGTGGCCCCGTTGCAGCCCTTCGTGGATCCCTTGCTGCCCTTCGTGGTCCCATATATGTATGCCCTTCGTGGCCCTCGCTCGGTCTTGCCCTTCGTGGCCCCGCTGTCGCCCTTCGTGGCCCCCTCGCTGCCCTTCGTGGCCCCGTTGCTGCCCTCAGTGACCCCGTCCTTGCCCTCCGCGGCTCAATATACGTATGCCCTTCGTGGCCCCCGCTCGTTCGCGTCCGTCGTTGCCCCATGTGCATGCCGCTCGTGGCCCCGCTGTTGCCCTGCGTGGCCCCCACGCTGGTCTACGTGGCCCAGTTGCTACCCTCAGTGGCCCCGTCGTTGCCTTCTGTGGCCCCGCATTATCTGCCCTTCGTGGCCCCCGCTCGTTCGCGCTCTTCGTCTCCCCATCCGCATTCCCTTCGTGTCCCCGCTGTCGCCCTTCGTGGCCTACTTCGTGCTCTTCGTGGCCCTGCTGTCCTTCTCTCTCTCGTTCTCGCTTTCGCTCGTCGTCGTCGTCGTCGTCGCCGCCGCCGCCGTCGTCGTCGTCGTCGTCGTCGTCGTCGTCGTCGTCGTCGTCGGTCCCCTGTCCGTTCTTCTTGGGGTCGGGTTGCCGCCGATCAGCGCTGCCACTGGCCAGGCCGACGGTCCGCAGCCGCCCCGCCGCTTGCTGGGGCCCTGCTTGCAGGGAAGAAAGGTATACCCTCCAAAAGGGGTGCGATCGAAGACAATGAGGGCGGGTATCGAGGGTTTGTGAAATACTCGTTAACGGACACTCGAGCAGGTAGTACACTCGAGCAGGTATAAGAGCGAACGGTCTTACAATGATTGTTGTTGTTGTTGTTGTTGTTGTTGTTGTTGTTGTTGTTGTTGTTGTTGTTGAACATTATTTATTCTAAAGAATAATTATTGTTGGGCCCCCTGGTGCACGCCCCCCCCGCCGCGCCTAGGCCGCAGCTACATTTTCATCATTTTCGTGAGGAAGCCTCAGGTAAAACGATGTGATCCAGATCCGGTTGTTTTGTTGTAATCCGTTTTCCCTTGCAAAAAACACTATAAAATGACATTTCTTGTTCTAATATAATCAAATTTCAAGAATCCCTTGCAAAAAATAAGGTAAAGTGGACATTCGCGCGCGCAAGACGAAATCCTTCCAAAAGCTTAGTGTTCGGAGCGATTTTAACATAAAAACATCAAAAAACCAATGGTTTTTCAACAAAAAAATGTCAAAATCTCATCCCGCGCGCTCTTGCGGATTCGTAGGAAACCCAACACTTTTTAAACATTTCTGTCAAACGGGCTTTTGCGAGCAACTTTTTCGAACTTCTGCGACAACGGTTGCGCACCTGCCAGGGCCATCATCCCTGTCAAATAATACCATGCGGGACACATTCGTTTTTTCTTCGCGCGCGCACGCCGTCGTCGTCGGCCGCGGGGCCCTGAATAGTAGCCACGGTCGTCCGCATGCCACGAAGTGAAGTGTCCGAACGTCATAGGGCGGGAAGCTGGGTGTGGGTGGTGGCGAAGAGTCGTTTGGAAATTTGGTAGAGCTTGAACCGGCCCCCCCACAAAGTGGGGGTATTGCCCGCCTCCTATGAAAACCCTGGCACTGGTGAGAACGGAGTGTCCCCAGTCTTAAATGATTGTTGTTGTTGTTGTTGTTGTTGTTGTTGTTGTTGTTGTTGTCGTTGTGGAATTCTCACTACTGAGAAATGATTATTGTTAATCCCCCCCACCCGGTGCGCGTGGTATTCTTTCTGGATTGAAGCACCCCTCCCGGGGCTCGCACCTCGTTTGTTACCATGGAAAGTCGTGGGGGTCTGGCCCCCAGTATACAACAACAGCGGCTCCCGCCTTATACTTCTTCACAGTTTATTGAAGAATCGCGCTGTCGTTTGACTTCCTGGCATTTTGCAGCCGAATCGCGTTTCAACGACCCGCCCGCGCGACCCGCCCGTCGGGGCCTGCCCGCCCGACCTGCCCGTTAAGGACTGCAGTCGCCGCTCGCTGCCCTTCCTTCGACCGTCTTCGATGCCCCTCGCTGCCCGTGCTGGTTCCGCGGTCGCCTTCGCTCGCTGCCCCTCGTGGCCTTGTTGCTGCCCTCAGTGGCCCCGCATTCTATGCCCTTCGTGGCCCCCGCTCGCGCGCGCCCGTCATGGCGCCATGCGCATGTTCTTCGTGGCCCCGCTGTCGACCTTCGTGGTCCCTTCGCTGCCCTTCGTGGCCCCTTTTCTGCCTTCAGTGGCCCCGCTGTCGCTTTTTCTGGTCCATATGCGCATGCCCTTCCTGGCCCCCGCTCGTTCGCGCCCGTCGCGGCCCGTGCTGGTTCCGCTGTCGCCTTCGCTCGCTGCTCTTCGCGGCCCCAGTGCTGCCCTCAGCGGCCCCGTCGATGCCCTCTGTGGCCCGGGATTTTATGCCCTTCGTGCCCCCCGCTCGCTCGCGCCATTCGTTGTCCCATGCGCATGCCCTTCGTGGCCCCGTTGTCGCCCTTCGTGGCACCCTTGCTGCCCTTTGTGGCCCTTTTGCTGCCATCAGTGGCCCCGGTGTCGCCTTTTCTGGCACCATATATGTATGCCCTTCGTGGCCCCCGCTCGTTCGCGCCCGTCGTGGCCCCAAGTGCGTGCCGCTCGTGGCCCCGCTGTCGCCCTTCGTGGCCCTCTCGCTGCCCTTCGTGGCCCCGTTTCTGCCCTCAGTGGCCCCGTCCTTGCCCTCTGAGGCCCCACATGCGCACGCCCTTCGTGGCCCCCGCTCGCCCGCGCCCGTCGTGGCCCTATTTGCATGTCCTTCGTGGCTCCTTTGCTGCCCTTCGTCGCCCTGCTTGCCATGCGTGGCCCCCTCGCTGACCTTCGTGGCCCCGTCGCTGCCCTTAGCGGCCCCGCTGTCGCCCATTCTGGCCCCGTATACGTATGCCCTTGGTGGCCCCCGCTCGTTCACGTCCGTCGTCGTCGTCGTCGGCGTCGTCGTTGGCTTGTGCAGATGCTGTGCGCTGCCGTGCGGGGCATGTGCGAAACTTGCAAGAAAGCCGGGGCTGGCCGGGCTGGGGGCGGCCGGGCCGGGGGCGGCCCCGAGTCCTGGGTTCCGATATGCCCTGAGCTGAGGTGTTCAGGCCATTTTCGCCTGAGACATCCTCGCAACTCTGATCTCGGAGACGCCCTGCTTCATGTTTGTCCGGCCACTTTCGCTTGAGACATCCTCGCAACTCAGGCGTCCGACATGCCCTGAGCTGAGAAAATCAGAGCGCCCTCTCTTGAGACGTCCTCGCAACTCTGAACTTCAAGGTGCCCTGCCCCGTGGTGGTCTGGCCGGCTTCGCCTGAGACATCTTTGCAACTCTGGGTTCCGATATGCCCTGAGCTGAGGTGGTCAGGCCACTTTCGCCAGGTACATCCTCGCAACTCTGACCTCGGAGATGCCCTGCCCCATGGTGGTCCGGCCACTTCCACTGGAGACGTCCTCGCGACTCAGGCTTCCGATATGCCCTGAGCTGAGATGATCGGACAGTTTTCGCCTGATACGTTCTCGCAATTCTGAACTCGGAGATGCCCTGCCCATGGCTCATGGTGGTCGGGCCATTTTCGCTTGAGACATCGTCGCAACTCTCGGATCCGATATGCCATGTGTTGAGGTGGCCAGGCCACTTTCGCCTGCGACATCCTCGCGTGATACATCATCTGGACGCTGACCGCATCCATGTGTTGGATTGTTGCTGTCGCCTGCCACATCCCTTATTTAGATATGGTGCTTGTTTCTCGAGCGCCAGCCTTTCCTCCTGGCTCAAGGCTCGAGTGCTCCAGGTAAAACGTCCTTTCGGCGATTATCTATTTGCGTGCGAGTTGTTGCCAATCACCGTCGGGTTCGCCTTGAGATTTTGGTAAGAACTTCTCCCCTCCAGATGGCAGTGCCATGGGGGGCGATTGGGCAGGGCGCCCTGAGGGCGTGAGGGCGCGCCTCGGCGGCGGCTGGCAGGGCCTCGGTGGCGCTGACTGCGACCGCGGGTGAGTGCAAGGGGACCATCTACTACGCGGTGCTCGAGTGCACGGGCACCAGGGCTGCTCCCCAGAACGCCCCAGGCTTCGACCCATTCTCTCTCGCGTGGGGGTGGTGCCTCCTGGGGCTGCTGTGCGGGCTGATGCTGGGGATGTGCTTCGACTTGATCGTGCGGCGGGCCGAGAGGTCAGCGTGGGTCTGGGCGCCGCGCGTAGCGGGCGCGGCGAGCCTTGCCGCTGCGCCTGGGCCGCCGCCAGGGACGCAGCCAGCAGGGCGGGGCCTTGCCGCGGCGCCAGGACTGCAGCACATGCCGCCATGGAATCAGGCCGCCGCAGCCGCCCACGGCGGCGCGCAGGAGGGTCCACGGCGCGTTGTGCTCCAGCGCCTCCTCGACAAGGGGGGCGCGGTGTTGGACCTTGACGGCGGCGACTGGGGTCTCGAGACGCGAGGTGCTGGCCGGGGCTCTTGAGGAGTTCCTAGTCCGGGCCAATGCCGCCGCGTGGTGCGTGTGACGTGCATTCGGGTGGCGCTTGCCCTCTGCTTCGCCTTCCTGGCTGGAGCCCGCGTCGGCGAGGCCAGCAACCCGGGCCCTGTCTCGGACGATGTTTTCCTCGCGGCCGCGGCGGCGCTGACGCCGCGGGCCTGCGCCGGCCTCGGCGGCGGCGGCGGGCCGCGGCATCGCTGGCGCTGGCGGCGGGCGCGTTGGAGGGCGACGCGGGCGCGTGGTTCGGCGGCGGGCCCGCGCGTGCCACCTCCGCAGGCGCAGACCCAGCTGGCGGAGGAGGTTTGGCATCGTTGCAGTCTCCAGGAACGCCGCGGCTGCCCCCGCCGGGCGTCCGGAGGGAGCTCTGCGAGGCAGCCCCGCGACCCAGGCCCCAGGGCCAGCGCGGGGCCAGCTCCTGGCGCGGCTGTGTTGCATGCTGGCGAGAGGCCTGCCCCGGCCGATGTGCTTGCTGAGGCGGCGCCAGGGTATGCAGGCCCAGCAGAGCCGGCTGCGCTTTTCGAGGCGTCCCCGCCCCAACGGGAAACCCCGCGGGTTCGCTGCCCACTTTGCGACCTGTTTGCGGGGCAGTGCGCCAGAGGTCTCGCTCAGCATCTGCGTGCGAGTCATGCCGGCGCCTCTCTGGACGATGGCGCCATCGCCCAGCTCCGCGGCCCGGGGCGGGCTCGGCGGGCAGGTTGCGGCTCCGTGCGGGCCGCGTTCTGGCGCAGCTGCTCTTGGTGCCAGTCCACAAATTTGCCGGTGCCGTTTCAGTCGGGAGATGTCCTCAGCCGCGCGGCCCGGCCCCAGCGACTACGACGCGCACGGGGGGGCGCCAGTGGTCTGCCGCCCCTGCTCGACTTGCCCGCCGAGTTCGCCGCCAGGGCGGCGGCGCTGCCGTCGAACACCCTGGTGCACGTGCCAGTTGCCTGTCGGGGGCGGTGGGTGGCCATCCTGGTCCGAGTTATGCGCGTCCTGGCTGAAGGGGGCGCCGGCGTGAACGCCGTCGCGAAGGCGCGCGCGAAGTTGCTGCTGGTGCCCCCCGTCGGGCTTCGGTCCTCGGGGCGAGATGAGCGTGCTCCTTGACCTGTGGTGGGGCGGCGCCCTCGCGAAGCTCCTCTGCCGCGGGCGGAGGGGCAGCTCCGGACGCGCGCGGACGCGCGGCGAGCTCGCTGGGGCGCGGGAGCTCCGCGGGACGCCTGGGCGCGCGCCTTGGCGCGCGAGGGCGCCCGCAGCCGGGCCGTCGCGGGGCTGGCGATTGAGGTGGCGGCGCTGACTCCAGCGGGCCAGCGCGCGCTGGCGGTTCGGCTGCTCCCGAACAGCCAGGGCGGGCACAGGCCGCTCGAGCCCAGAGGCCGCCGCGCCAGTCCAGGGCGAGGGTGCAGAGCCAGACCGCCGCGGCCCAATGTGTGGAGCACGTTTTGCTCCGCTGTCGGCCCCTGGCCCCTCGGGCCTGCGACCCGAGCGCATGAAGGAGGTTCTGGGCGTGCGCCGTCGCCGCGTCTGCGGCGCGCTGAATTCCGCCCGGCGCAGCCTGCGCTCCGCGGCGGCGGCTGGAGCGCTCCCCGAGCACTCCCGGTGGATATTGGACAGTTAGGCTCGCTTCTTGAAGAAGAGGGGCGGGCCCTCGCCTCGACCAACGCGCGCGGGCGAGGTGCTGCGCGGGGTCGTCGCCGAGCGGTTCGCCTTCGATGCGCGCGTTGCGGCTGGCGCGCCAGCTCGGGGTCAGTGTGCCTGGTGGTCCGGGGGCGGCTGTCGCATTCTGCCTCGCCGCGGAGCGGGTCTTCCACCGCCGCGAGCAGCGCGCTGCTGTCGTGGGCGTCGACCTGAAGAACTGCTTCCCCAGCTTGGAGTGGGGCGCCATCCGGGCGTCGCGCGCCGCGCACTTCCCGGGCCCGCTGGCGTGGCCGGAGCGGTACCATGCGGCCCCCTCCGAGGCCCGGCTGCCAGGGGGTCTCCTTCTTCGACGTCTGGTACTTCGACGATGGCCAGCTCATCTGGGACGAGCGCGACGTGGGCGTCATCTTGCGGGCTCTCGACGCGCGCTTCGCGGCCGTGGGAGCTACGCGTGGAAGGGGGCCAGGGGTCAAGAGCGTCGCGCGCGCTGGGCGCTGCTGCCACCCCGACGCCGCGAGGGTGGATCACCCCCTACGTGGCGGACGCGTGTGTGACGCTGGCAGAAGACGTTACGCACCTGACACGTGCTGAGCGCGCATGCTGACGCGCGTGACCAAACGCCCGTCGCCATGACAGAGCAGTTCCGGCAGGCCTGCCGCAGGGTGGCCGCCGTCCACGATCCGTTCCCCCACCTCGAAGACGCGCCCTCCGAATTCGCGCTCTTGCGGGCGCCTGCAGGATCGCGCACTTGCTGCGGTCGGTCGGCCCCGACGTCTCTGCCGAGGCCCTGGCGGAGTTCGATGGCGCCGTGACGGCGGCGCCAGGCGGATCCTCGCGTGCGATGTCCCGCCGCTCTGCCGCTTGCAGGCTGGGCTGCCCGCGCGGCAAGCTGGCGTCGGCCTGGCTTCCGCGGCCGCGCTGGCGTCCGCCGCCTTTGTGGCCGCTCGCGCCGAGGCCCGTCCGATGGCACGCTTTCTGCTGGGGGGGCTCGCGGAGACCGTCGGGGACCTTCGCGCCCCCCTGGCGGACTACGGCGACGCGCTGAGCGCCGCGCGCCGCGCGTTGCTCTCCCAGGTGGGCGACGCTCGTCGGGCGAGGGTTGGCGGCGCCATCGCGCGGGCCGAGGGCGAGGCAGCGGCGCGGTTCCCTGCCGTGCGTTCGGGGGGCGGCGTGCCAGCCGCCGCCCTGGCGGGCGTGGCCGAGGCTGGCTTTGTCCACTTGGCAGGCGTGGAGGGCCCTGGGGCGATCGACAGCTCCCGCCTCCAGGGCGTGCTATCCCTCGTGATCGGGGAGACGCAGCTCGAGGTGCTTGACGCGCCTCTTCGCGCGGGGGCCGATTGGCCAGGGTTCCGCCGCGTCGCGGAGTTGCGGGGCCCGTCCACCGACAACTCGTGGATGAGTTGCCTCCGCTCAGCGCGTGCTCTGGTGCTCAGCGCCGATGCCTGCGTCGACTCTCTGCTGCTCGGCCTCGGGGCGCCCTCCCCGCCTGGAGGCGCGGAGTGTCACTTGCGCGGGGGAGCCTTGAATCAGCGCGGCGTCCACCCGCGGACCCGCGCCCGGGCCGAAGCCACCCGGGGCCGCTACCGCGCGCGCCGCCACGCGCGCTTGCTGGCTGCCTTCGGCGACCCCGAAGCCGCCCCCGAGCTTCTCGGTTTGATGCCCTCCGGTCCATCGCGGCGTCCTGCTGACATCCTTGCGTCGGCTGCCACCGGCAGCCTCGCAGCGTTGGACATTGGAGTGTGTTCGCCAGAGGCCGCCGGCGCTGGGCTCGACTGCTGCGCGGCGATGGCCCGCCGCAAGCGCGACGCATGCGCGCCGTTGACAGCGGAGTTGCGGCGTCGCGGAGTTGTCTGCCGGCCCGCGGCGTGGGGCAGCAGCGGGCGGGCCCGCGCAGAGGCCCGAGACACGCTGCAGAGCCTCGCTCGGGCAGCGGCGCGGCGTCGGGGGCTCCCGCGGCGCCTGGTGGCCCAGGTGCGCCGCCGCCTGCCCGAGGACCCCGGGGCCGAGGTCGCGCCCTCTCCAGCAGCGGCGCCCCCGCCGCGGGCGCGCGAGCCCCGTGGGGGGGGGCGCGGGGCGGCCGCCCTCGAGCAGGAGTGGCCCGCCGCGCCAGGGCTCCTGCCTAGCGCCCCCTCGGCCGACGGCTCAGAGGCGCCGCGGCGCCGCTCGGGCGAGCTGGAGCAGTCGGCGACGGCAGAGGCAGACGGCGCCGGGCTGCGCGCGCGCGCCCCGCGGCAGGTCCCATCCGCCCCGAGCCAGATGGGCGCCCGCGCGCGCGGGGGGCCGAGTGGTTCGAGGCGCTGAAGCTCGTGTGCGGGCGGGGCCAGGAGAGATGAGCGGGGGGGGCTCTGGCCCTGGGCCCGTGTGGCGGCGCTCGTTCCGCTGGTTTTTATTGGAATAAGAGAAACTGTTCCTCCCCATTCCACCCCCCCCTGCCTCTCCGAGTCCTTGACTTGGCGGCGTGTGCGGGCATGTGCGTTTATACTTTCGTCGGAGTTGTTCTAGACTGTGCATCCGACTGTGCATCGGACTGTGCGGCAGGTGCGCGCATGTGCAGCAATGCTACTGGGTCCTTTTCGGAGTTGCATGGGCATGCGCATGCAATTGTGCGGCATGTGCGTGCATGTGCGGCCCCTTCCAGACCTCAATTTGGAATTGAGCACTGTAGAAGTGGGCGCTACAGAAATGAGTCCGGTGTATTGTCCACTTGTGTTGGAATGGCCTGCGCATGCCATGGCGGAAGCATTGGCGCAACTGGTGGCGCAAATCGCCGTCCACCCTCCCTGTTTGCCTTCCCCTCCTCCGCCCCTTCCTTTGATCCCTTCGTTTTCATTATCACCCTTTCTGATTGTTCCTGCGTTTTCTTGTTTGGTGGCCTTTCCAGCTACACGTGACAGGGAGGGAATACAACCCCCCAGAAGCGCACGATCGAAGACGAAGAGGGCCCGTATTCAGGGTTTGGGGTCTGCATTTTTAGTGGCACGCGATCGGATCGGAGCGAACCGTCTTAAACTGATTGTTGTTGTTGCTGCTGCTGCTGCTGTTGTTGTTGTTGTTGTTGTTGTTGTTGTTGTTGTTGTTGTTGTTATTGTTGTTGTCGTTGTTGTTGATGTTAATGTTGTTGTTGCTGCTGTTGTTGTTGTTGTTGTTGTTGAGCTCTCTTTTCGGAAGAATAATTATTGTTGATCCCCCCTCACCGGTGCATGTTGTTTTGTCTCAATCAAAGTGTGCCCCTCGACGGTCGCACCTTGTGTTTTGACAGGGAAAGTTTTGATGCTCAAACTGCCCCTGGCCCCCTGGATTATCACAACAACGGTTTCCCGCTCAGATTTCCTATGAATTTATTCAGGACCC